CCCCCATCCCGCACGCTCCCCACGTCCGCTCCCGCGTGGGAGTGGGAACGGGGATGTTCCCGGTGAGTGATTCCCGCTCGGCAGCGGCCGTGCCCCGGCGTGTGCCCGCCACCCCGCCGGCCCCGGTGACCCCGGCCGGGTCCGGCCCGGGCCCCGGGCGTGTGCCGGGCCCGGCACGGTGAGCTCCGCACGGAACGGGACGGGGCTAACGGGACGGGCCAGGGGCACGGCGGGCTGCGCCGGGGCGCGCTGGCCCCGCTGCCCGGTCCCGCTCGGGAGCTGGCCTTGGGCACGGCCGGGAGCGGGGCACAGCGAGCTGGTCCCGGGGCCCGACACCACGGGGGACAGCGCGGCATGGGGACACCGAGCTCAGGGTCCTGTCCTGGGGGTCACACCTCAGTGTGTGGGGACACCTCTGTGTAGGGTCACACCTGTATGGGGTCACATCTGTGTGTGGGGTCACATCTGTGTGGGGACACACCTCAGTGTGGGGGACACATCTGTGTGTGGTCACACCTGTATGGGGTCACATCTGTGTGTGGGGTCACATCTCAGTGTGTGGGGACACTTGTGTGTATGGTCACACCTGTATGGGGTCACATCTGTGTGTGGGGTCACACCTGTATGGGGACACACCTGTGTGTAGGACACACCTGACGGGGGTCACACCTGCGGGGGTCCTTTCCAGGGGGACTGTGTGGAATGAGGGTCACGGGAAACCTGTGGGCACTCTGCGGGCCGTGCACACCTGGGGGGGGGTCTGTGCTCACGGGGGGTGTCCCCCCGCATCCGGAGGGTCCCCACACGCGTGTGCGTGCACACCTGAGGGGTCCCTGCACACCGGGGATGTCCCCGCACCCCGGGATGTCCCGATGTCCCCACACCCCCGGGATGTCCCCGCACCCCAGGATGTCCCCACACCCCCGGGAAGTCCCCGTGTCCCCCGGGATGTCCCCGCACCCCAGGATGTCCCCACACCCCCTGGGTGTCCCACACCCTGAGGATATCCCCACACACCCCCGGGAAGTCCCCGTGTCCCCCGGGATGTCCCCATGTCCCCCCATTCCCGGACCCTCCGTTCCCCCCCTCCGGGGGACGTCTTGGCCCCGCCCCCTCCGCACCAGGCCCCGCCCCTCACCACAGGGCACCGCCCCCTTCGCGCCCGGCCCCGCCCTTCCCGTCTCGGCCAATGGGAAGGCGCGGCCCCGCCCGGCCGCAGCCAATGGGAGGCGCGGCCCCGCCCCCCCGGCGCGCGGCGCTGGCGCAGGCGCGGTGCGCGCGGGGCCAAGATGGCGGCGGCGGCGGGCGGTGGGCGCGGGCGGGCGGCGGCGGCGGCCTGAGGGGCCCTGAGGAGCCGAGCGCGGCCTCGCGGGGCTCCCGGGGCTCCCGGGGCCGGCCCGGGCCGCCCCCGCCGCCATGGCCCGCCTGGCTGACTACTTCGTGCTCGTGGGATACGACCCCGGCAAGCGCGGTGAGCGGCGGAGGGACGCGGGGGGGCCGGGCCCGCGCGGGCCGCTCCGGCCGGGGGCGCGGGGCCGGGGCTGTGGGGTGGGCGCGGGCCCGGGGGCGCGGGGCGGGCCCTGGCGGCGGTGCAGGGTGGTCCCGGAGCGGGGCCGAGGCTGCGGGGCCGTCGCCGGTGCCGGGCCGGGCAGCAGCGGGCAGTTCTCATCCCCCCGTGAAATCCCTTCCGAGCAGCCCCCGGGCGGTCCCGGCAGCCGGGGCCGGCCCTGCGCGGCTCACGCTGCACGGTTTGGGTGTTTTCGGTGTGTCACCGCTCCGGGAACATGGGCTGGGCCGGGGGGCACCGCTGTGCTCCGGCCGTGGCCCCCGGCCTGCTCCCCCTGCGCGTCCTCAGCTGCTGGTGTGGGATGTGGTGCTTCCAGGGGGCACCCACCGGCCCTGGGACGGGGTTTGTACCCCCAGCCCCCGGGACGGGGTTTGTACCTCCAGCCCCCGGGACGGGGTTTGTACCCCCAGCCCCCGGGACGGGGTCTGTACCCCCAGCCCCCGGGACGGGGTCTGTACCCCCAGCCCCCAGGACGGGGTTTGTACCCCCGGCCCCCGGGACAGGGTTTGTACCCCCAGCCCCGTTCCCGGGCACCCCCAGCCCCGTTCTGGAGCAGCCCCTGGTGCCCTCCCTGCTCCCTCGGACGCTGCTGAGCCCCGGATCTGGCAGACAGCTCGCTCCCCTGGCCTCTCCCGCATCCCTGCTCGCCGTCAGGTGATGCTGTCGGATGTTTTGGTGGGGGATGTTCCGTGGTGGGGATTTAAGGTCTCTTCCCGTCGTGTTTCCTTCTGCCTCCCGCCCCCAGAGCTGTTGGGGAAAAGGAGCTTTGGCAGCGTCGCAGAGGAGGCGAAATGCCCTAAAATCAGGAAATCGGGGCTGCAGGGCCCCCCTGAGCGTCTCTGCCCTCCTGGCACGTCCCCAGGCTGTGCTGAGCTCGTTCCGAGCCTGTGCTGGCAGCTGGGGAAGGGGATTGCTGGTTTTGCTGCGGGTTTGGTCATCGGGGATGCTGCTGGGGCTCGGTTCGGGGCGGATCCCCGCCTGGAGCAGCTGGAGGAGGGCAGGAGGAGCGAGCTGGGTGTCGGGCATGCTGGAGAGCAGAGCTCTGCATCAGAGTTTGGTGTTTCCTGAGGGCTTTCTGGTCGTGTGCTGTCAGTTTGGTGTTTCATTGCTGTTCTAATTGCTGTTACTGCAGACGTGTTCCCCCGGTGTCCCCTTGGGCAGGAGCTGCTGTCCCACAGCTCACACCATGCTGGGGTGGGAGATGCAGGGGGGATTCCAGGATTCCATCTGGGAGCAGGCTCCACATCCTCTCAGGAGCCGTGCTGGGGGGGTGGTACCCCCTTTGTCCTGCCTCCGGGTGCTTCCTCCTGCATCTTCTTCCTCATCTCCCCCTGAGGATGCTGCAGCTGCGGCCTGCACCTTCAAACTGCTGCTGTGAGCGGGTTGGTGACGGGTGGGGATCAGGGACCTGGCATTCCCTGGGCCTGGTGTTCCTTGCTGTGACTTTCCCAGGGAACAGAAACGTCCCACGTGTGCCTGGGGTCATTTGGGATTTGTTTTGGGGAGAGGGATGATGCTGTGAGGTGGTGTGATTGGCTGTATTGGGACAGCCAAAAAGAGGAACAGGTTTAGGTGGGAGATTGGGAATGAGGAATTCCTGGCTGGGCTGGAATTGCCAGAGCAGCTGGGGCTGCCCCTGGATCCCTGGCAGTGCCCAAGGCCAGGCTGGACACTGGGGCTGGAGCAGCCTGGGACAGTGGGAGGTGTCCCTGCCATGGATCAGGATGAACTTTCTGGTCCCTTCCCACCCAAATCACGTCGTGATTCTGTGCCACTGGGAAGGGAAGAGCTCACATTTAACAAGTTATGTTCCTCTGGGGTAAATATTCACTTTATTTTGGGTTTGACTCACCTCTGCAGGGAGGGGATGGCTCCAGGATATTGTGGGGAGGTGGAACCAGGATGCTGTAGAGGGGAAAGATCCAGGATGCCCTGGGAAGGGGCAGCTCCAGGATCCCCTGCATGGGATGGATCCAGGATGCCCTGGGAAGGGGCAGCTCCAGGATCCCCTGCATGGGATGGATCCAGGATGCCCTGGGAAGGGGCAGCTCCAGGACACCAGCCTGACCCCCCTGGCTGCTGGGATGGCCCAGTCAGATGTGACCTGTCCAGGTTGAGGCACCCAGGAGTTGTGGCCTCTCTGTGCCAGCCTGAGCAAACCCCTTCCCGTGCTGCTCTGGAGGTGTCCGAGCACTGTCCTGCGCCCTGTCCCCAGGGATGTGCCAGCCTGTCCCCAGGGATGTGCCAGCCTGTCCCCAGGGATGGACCGACACCGGTTCTGTGGTTTTTGGGATCAGCCTGGCAGCATTCCCGGCTCCCAGCTCTGTTTTCCCAGCCCCCTCCCTGCTTAGATAATGCTGGAGGAAGGGCAGCGGTGCTCATCTGCCAGTGACTAATTGCTGTACAGGTTGGGTTGCTCCGGCAGAGCCGTGGGCTGTGCCAGGCTGGGCTGTGCCAGGCTGGCACCGTCCCTGCCATCCTCACCTGTAAACAGAGCTGGCTGAGCTGCACCAGGGCTGGGTGAGCCCCCTGGCACTGCCGGGCCCTGGCACATTCCCGGCCGGTGCTGAGCCCCGGGAGTTCCGTGCCTGTGGGATTTGGGGTCGGGCAGGGATGGGTTTGCACTTGGGGATGTGAAAGGGAAAGGTCTGGTGGGGTGGTGGGAGCTGAGGTGGTTCTGCAGCATCTCCAGAGAGACAATGCCAGGCTGGGCTGGGTGGGAAGGGACCCCAGAGCCCCTCCAGTGCCACCCCTGCCACGGCAGGGACACCTCCCACTGTCCCAGGCTGCTCCAGCCCCAGAGTCCAGCCTGGCCCTGGGCACTGCCAGGGAGCCAGAGGCAGCCCCAGCTGCTCTGGCAATCCCAGCCCAGCCAGGAATTCCTCATTCCCAATCTCCCATCCATGGCTGCCCTCCGGCAGTGGGAGCCATTCCCTGGGTCCTGTCCCTCCACCCTTGTCCCCAGTCCCTCTGCAGCTCTCCTGGAGCCCCTCCAGGCCCTGCCAGGGCTCTGAGCTCTCCCTGGATCCTTCCCTTCCCTGCTCCATGAGGTGTTGCCGTGCCTGCTGCAGTTTGTGGGAACAGAACCGAAATCAGATCCGTGCTGGAGCGGGGCCGTGCCGGGTTCCCTGGGGTGCCTGAGTGCTGCTGGAGCCGCCTGTCCCTGGGGTTTCCTGGAGCAGCCTCATCCCCCTGACCTGGGGCTGTGCTGCAGGGCCTGGGAGCACGTCCTGCTCCTCGGGCAGGGACAGAAAAGGGCTCTGAACTCTCTCAGGGGCTGTGGCTTTGGCTGCGGGACCGGGGCCTTGAGCTGCTCTGCCTGCACGGGGTGTCCAGGACCCAGGCAGGCATCCAGGTTCTTTTCCAGGTTTGTAGAGCGCTGGGGATGCATCCAGGAATGCAGAGCATGGACATGCCACCTGCCTGGCACAGTGTCCCTATGTCCCCGGGCTGTGCCAGGCACCCAGCCCACTCCATGGGGCTGTGTGGGAGAGGGGCTCCGGGGAAAAGTGTGGAGTGAACGCTCCTGGCAGTGGGAATCGGCTCCTTCCATGCCAGGGTCTGTTGTATTGTGGGCTGGCTGTTCACTTATTCCCTCTAAGTGGATGGGTTTTATTCTCCTGGCTCGTCCTTCAGCTTCCCAGAGCTGGGATTGTGCCTGGTTTTACCTGGGAATAACGTTTTCCCAGAGCTGGGATTGTGCTGGGTTTTACCTGGGAATGGCAGCTTCCCAGAGCCGGGATTGTGCCTGGTTTTACCTGGGAATAACATTTTCCCAGAGCCGGGATTGTGCTGGTTTTACCTCAGGATCCAAGGGAATAACAACTTGCCAGAGCTGGTTCTACCAGAGCTGGGATTGTGCTGGGTTTTGCTGGGATCAGAGGGGGTTTCTCTGCATCCCCCATACCCTGAGAGTCCAGGACAGCTCAATTCCAAACCCCGTGGCTGAAGGAGTCTGGAAGTTTTGGATAGGGAGCACTGGATGGGTATGACCTGGGTGATGGGAGCCAAAACCCATCTTGGGATTGATTTGGGATTTCCCAGTGGGTTTAAGCTGCCAGAGGGCAGCCATGGATGGGAGATTGGGAATGAGGAATTCCTGGCTGGGCTGGGATTGCCAGAGCAGCTGGGGCTCCCCTGGATCCCTGGCAGTGCCCAAGGCCAGGCTGGACACTGGGGCTGGAGCAGCCTGGGACAGTGGAGGTGTCCCTGCCAGGACAGGGGTGGCACTGGAGGGGCTCTGGGGTCCCTCCCCGCCCAGCCATGCCATGAGTGATCCCTGCTGCAGTCAGGGGATCCGGGAGGTGCCCGTGTCCCGTGGGTGTCCCGTGGGTGTCCCGTGGGTGTCGGGCTGGCTGCGGAGGCTGCTCGGGAAGTCCCGGTGGTTTCTCTGTTTCCGTGCTCACGGAGCAGCCTCACCTCACACTCGTGCTCTCCTCAGACACCCAGCCTGGGGCTCGGCGCTCCGTGGGCGGTCGGGCATGGCAGGAGGAAGCTGCCTCTTTCCACGAGGTGCTTGGGGCAGGTTTTGGGGTGTTCTTTGTGAGGAGCGAGGCACAGACAGGGCACATCCCCCCTTCCCGAGCTGCTCCTGCAGCTGGTTCCTGGTGGGAGAAGCTGAAGTGGATCTGCAGCCAGGGCAGGGCTCTCAGGGCTCAGCCTGCTGCTGTCCCAGCCGTGGCTTGGGTTGGGTTCCAGCTCTCCTGGTGGCACCTGTCTGTGTCACTCTGTCGTGCGTGGCCGTGGCCCAGTGACTCAGGGTGTGAATCAGCCGGGTTCTGCGAGCAGCTGGCAAAATCACCCAGGAAAAGCCCCTGGGGCTGACAGCAGTGGTGGAGCTGTTTGCTGGGTCAATATTTGTGCAGGGAAACAGAGGCTGGGAATGGCCCTGGCACGTGCAGAGC